AAATGTCTGTCTGTTAGGCCCATTTGTTCTAGGGTTTGCTTTAGGTCCATAGTTTCTTTGCTAATTTTATGTTTGGAGGATCTGTCCAATTCTGTCAGTGGGATGTTAAAGTCCCCAAGAGTAAGGTGCTGCTACTTCTAATTTTGTTTTAGATTGAGTATAGATTTGTTTGAAGAACCTGGATGCACCTGTGTTGGGTACATAAATATTTAAGATTGATAAGTCTTCTTGTTGAATTGTTCCCTTCACTATTATATAGTGGCCATAGTTATCTTAACTTTTGATGATTTACAGTCTACATTATCTGATTATGACAATGGCTATGCTAGCTTCATTTTAGTTTCCATTTATATGGAATATTTTTTCCATCCTTTTACCTTGCTTCTAAATGGATGCTTGTGAGTTAGACATGTTTCCTAAAGACAATAGATACTTGGTTTTAATTTTTTTTCCATTCAGCCAATCTTCAATAGAGAATTTAAATCATCCACATTTGTTGGAAGTATTGATACATATAGTAGATTTCTGTTTATCCTGTTGGGTAGATCATTGTTACTTGTTTTACCTCTTGAGTCATTGTAGTATTTGGGTTCTGTACTTTAGTTTTTAGAAGGTTTTACACTAGAGGATTTCTATATGCTGGTCCACGTATAATGCAGGTCTGAGTACTTCCTTGAGGGCTGGTCTGGTCTTTGCAAGTTCCCTCAATGATTCCTTGTCAGTGAAAGTCCTTTTGTTTGTTTGTTTGTTTGTTTGTTTGTTTGTTTGTTTTACAGGATATAAGATTCTAGGGTGGTCACTGCACTTTTTTAGGAGGTTGGGGATAGGAGTCTAATCATTTCTGGCTTGTCAAATTTCAGATGAGAAATCTGTAGTCTGTATTTCTTTGTAAATTACCTGTTGTTTTCACCTTCCTACTTGTCCAATGGCCTCTTTCATGTTTATTTTGGTCAGCTTAATGATAATGTGTTGTGGCAAATGCCTCCCTGTAGTCCCTTGTGCCTCTTGTAACTGAATATATAGATTTCTAGCAAAGCTGGGGAATTTTTCCTCAATAATTCCCTCAAATAAATTATCCAACTCTTGAGTATTTTCTTCTTTGCCCACATGTATTTCATGTTTTTTTATTTGGCCTCTTTACATAGTCCCACACATCTTGTAGGCGTTGTTTGTTCTTTTTATCCCCTGTTCTTTCTCTTAACCTGACTTGTTTAGCACAAAAGTACTATCTTTAAGTTCTAAGATTCTTTCTTCAGCCTCTTTGAGCCTACTACTAAGGTTTTCCACTGTGTTTTGGAGTTCTTTGAATGAGTCTTTCAAAAACTACATTTCCAGTAGTTCTGTTTGGTTTTTCTTTAATACTCTGATTTCTTTTGAATATCTTTCATTCCTTATATTGATTTTATGGTTTCTTTGTGTTGAGTTTCGTTTTTCTCTTACATTCATTGAATCTTATTGCAATCCATATTTGAAACTCTTCACCTATAACGCTCATAATTTCATTTAGGTTGTTGGTATCTATAAAAAGAGCATTGTTGATTGCTTTGGGGGGTGTCCTTTCACTCTGTTTCTTCATGTTTTCAGGAATTTTCACTATTTCTTTCTCATCTGTTCTCTTAGCTGAGAGCTGAGGCTGATAAGACTGGCTTACAGCCCTGTCTCTGAGACCACAAAGATCAAGCCTTAACCATACTGAGAAGAGGAATGCTGGTCCTGAGATGTCTTTGGGGTGTATTATCAAATTTGCTGGACTTCTTGGGTTACATCTACCCTAATGTTTTCACCTTTTTCCAATGGAGTATAGTGAATTTGGGCCCTCAGCTTAAGCTTGGTGCAGGCAGGAAGATCACAAACTGTAGCTGTCCTGAGTGAACATGCACCCTGCTCACTGAAAGGTTGGCATCTCCACACAGAGTTCTCTAGCCATAGCTATGGTAGGGGAAGGGATGTGGTATCCCTGTAATATTTGTGTTTCAGGGTGGCACTGGGAACCTATACACTTGACTCAGCTACCACCACTGTGGCTACATTCTCTATGGGGGATAGAGGGGTTTACAAGGAGAATTCATTCCTCTTGTGAGCAGGTGACTCTGCCAATTCAGAGCACTTTTGCCATTGCTATGGGGCAGAGGGGTCTTGCTTAAGCTAAAATAATTTTCTGGGATGCCAGAGATGGAGGGAGTGCAGAACAAGAGGCATACAAATTCAAGAATTCCAGCATTCTATTTCCTCGGGGTACTCTCCTTTGGGAAGAGAGTCCTATGTCCCACTGCTGATCAGAGGTTCCTGTGTAAAGGAGAGGGAATCTCTTTACTCTTTCACTGGGCTATGAGCCTCCCTGGACTTGGTCCACACTGCTGGTCTCTCTTCTCAAACCTCCTTTCTCTCAGCTTCAGTTACTTCTACTGGGGTTCTCTGACACCACTATTTTCTCTCTCTGGGGTCTGTTTTTGAGTTTTAGCTGTTCTCATTCTCCACAATCTAACCTTCCACTCTTCTGCTGGGAGAGTCTGAGAAGCTGTGTCTCTAGTCAGCCATCTTGAATGAATCCCAAACAGAAAATCAACAGTATATACCAAATGTATAGTATGCATTAAATAAGATGTCCTTAAACAGAAATACCCCCCCCAAAAAAACCTATGATGACTTTATAGAACATAACCATGAATAATGAGAATGGACTATATAGGTTAGGAAACATGACAATGTACACTATAACCAATTTCAGAAAATTGGCAGCTTAGTATGAGCTAATCATACAGAGTTATATATGAAGCTGGGATGTGTCTGGTTAATCAAATGATGAAAGCTGTTACTTTTACCAAATTTTTACCAAATTTATATCATTACCCAAAAATTTGGGTATGCTGTTGACTAGAGGTCTGCTTTGAAATTTGGGTATAAAAAGTAGGTGAGTGGAGGTTGGCTACTTTCTTCTAGTGGCTGCCTCAAGAACAACAGGTCCTTGAATAACATTATTTCATTCAACATTATTTCTTTATAATGTTGATAAGACAAGAAAACCAATTCCCACACAGGGCCACTGTCTTGGTGGACTTTGCACATTCTTCCCATGTCCACAGAGGTTTTCTCCTGGCCCACCAGTTTCCTCCCAATTCCCATACATATGCACTTTAGGTGAACTGGCATGCCCAAACTATCTAGTTTCAGTGTGTGTGTGTGTGTGTGTGTGTGTGTGTGTATGCACACACTCTATTGGAATGCTGTCCTGTCTCAGTTCCTCCCTTGGCACCCTAAGCTTTGTGGACAGGTTCTAACCACCTTTGATACTAAACTGGAACAACTGGGCAAACAATCATTTTATTTATTTTTACTAATCTTTCTTAAATGTTGTACATCTCAAATTATTTATTTCAGTGTTTAATATTGGAAGTGTTTTGGTCTTTATAAATTGGGTAATGTTTTCATAATCAGAAATATGCCATAGGAACCTTACTCTTGTTTATATAATATAAATTAGCATGTAATAAAATTAGTTTTCATTATATGTAATTTTGCTTGAAATCAGTTTCCAAGAAGGTATTGGCAATGTTCAGTGAGAACTTGTTGTATGTGTCAAGGAGATAACACGCTGTGAATGCAGGATCACTTTCCAGGCTAACCCCTGGCCTAGATCAGGATCAGTTCCACAGTCTGTGACTCATCTTTCCCTTTTCCCTTTGGGATAGATTATTCCCTTGTTTATGACAACTGTAGGAATGACTCATTTTTCATGGAATTTCAAAGCATTACCCAACTACCATATTCATCTAAATGTAAATGTTTTAGAGGACAAAACTAATAGGTTTCTACCAAGGTCTTATATGTACAGAAAAGATACTATCTAGTATTGGGGCTAATTCTTTTGAGATGAATATTGTGTTTTTGTTTTGTTCTTTTTTATAGACAATTATTTTTTTGCAAAAAATGGAAATGGAGCCAAGTGGCTAAGGGAACTGTGTGATAGTCTTTGTGAAATTCAGAAACAGTGATACCTCAGAGCTACTCCATCAACAATTGCAACAACAAAGCTTCTGATGGAAACATTTAACAATCAGATGGTCTCCTTTTGGAGGAAGAGTTGTCCCTTGTTTAAAACATTTTAAAACAAGGCACTTAATTCCTAGTAATAAAACAACATGAAATTTCATCCTCCTCACCTGCCACCATAGGTTATTGGAGCCTTTGGTATCCTGTTTGTATCAAACAGATGTTTACTCCTAAGAAAATCTTTAGTGTATACAACTCCACATACAACTTTTTTAAATGACCAAATGTTTTGCCCTAGGACAGTCTTTTACACTTTTAATTAGGTTAAATCTAATTTAGGTCAAATTCTTTAATTGATAACCTCAAATATTAAAATATAATGACCTCAAATACCAAAACCTTAAAGATGATATAATCTCTTAATTTATAAATATGTTTGATAATGTAGATTCCCATGGCATAAGAATTTAAACAAATTTGAAGAACCATTGTTTTATTTACCTTTAAGATAGAAATTTTAAAACATTGTTTAAAGCATCATTAGGTATATATGTATTAATATGTGTTAGTTTCTTTCAGTATGTATTTATTATAACAAATACTATTTTAAACTTGTGATAAAGTTTTTAAGACTCTTGAAACTTTTTTCATGTACTCAAAGTTTCCATTAGTTTGTTAATGCCACTGTTTCAGCAACATGGGGTACAGTGTACTGTTTCTGTATACAATTTCATCCAACTGGTTAACATATCCTTCATGTCATTTTCTTAGTTATTGTGTTAAGAGATTTATATTCTACATTTAGAGAGATTCACATGTACCCTTATAAGATGAACCATAGACATGATCCCATCAATCACCCTCCCTCCACCCATCCTCCCCCCTCCCCAATAATAATATTTTAATAACCTTATATTCATGTAAAGTGGTTTACCATCTTACATATAGGAAGAGCTGTCAATACAATTTGCCTCTCTGTGGCAAACTAACAGATTTGTCTTTTTCTACAGTTCTAGGCTTTTCCACAGAAGGACATTTTGAAGATTATGTTAAGCAAGAGAATAACTCTCAGAAAGTTCTGGCTGCTATTGTTTTTGACCACAACTTCAAAAATAGCAATGATCCTCTGCCACTTAAGGTAAGAAAGTTTATGTACAAAGGTCATACCTGAACTCATAATTTCAAGATCTTTACTGAAATGTTTGGATCACCATTTCATTTTGTAAGAGGAGAGACTATAACTTTTCCAACATTACACTGCTTGTAAATGCGAGAGCAAGGGTTGGAATGTGCATTTATTTAGCCCGTGCTTTATACTTATGAGGGAAGAATTGTATTCAGCACCTGAATGTTGCATTGGGGTTTCACGAGAGACAGACAGCGTCACTACAGGTGCAGTCTCGCATCTGGAATTATTATAATGAAAGAGAGAGACTACCTCTCTGGTGGAAGTAGCAAAGCTTTATTGTTCAAGACCACCTTTTATAGTTGGCTGGTCACGTACACATTATTAATTAACAAGCAAAGCATCCATACTATTTTCTAAAGTTAGTTCAACCTTCAAAAAGACACAAAGTTTGAAACCTAGAGACAGCTGCAAAAGGGAGTTTGTCTAAAGACTTGAGATTACCAAAAGGGGAGTAAAACCTTTGAAGTTACACTATACACTCATTATAGAACGCAGATTTATGGCTTCTGTCTCTGGCAATCTGGAGGCCTACACAGTTTTCCGATAAGAGTTCACTTATCAACCCCTAGGCTGTGTCTCTGCAGAAAGGTTTTTAACCCTTTCTTTGCAGGCTTAACAGCCACATGGCCAGAGTCACTGGAGATGGGTTTTTATGCCCTAATCCCCAGGCTCTGTTCCATGCTGACCAGGGATACCGGGTCATCAACAGAGTTGCCTTCCACAGAAGTCTGTCCACCTGCCTCTGGAGCTTAAAGGGAGCACATAGTTTGTGAAGGAGCACACAGCTGTGGGATTTTACCCCACACCTGAAAGGCCTTGTTCATAAAATGGAATCATAGGAAACATTTGCAGTTGCAGATAATATCTTTGCCATTGTATCTGGTATCTACTTGTCTGTGGTCCTGCAAACATAGTGAAGAAAATGCACATTTCCCAGACCAAAGTGCTTCATGTCATAAAGCAGTTGCATCTTCTCAGGCAAAGAACACAGCACAAAAATTTCTTCTTTATTTTGAGTTAATCTCACAATTTCTCTACTAATCATAAATTTCAAAAATAACTCCAAGATTCTGGGAGCGTGAATCAAAATTAGAATATCTGCAGACACTGAGGAAGATTCTGATAACAGCCCCCAAGAAAGAGAGATAAGAAAGGACCTGGCTTTGTACTTGGTGTCTCTGTTGAAAGGGAAATAACCAAAATACAAAATATAGGTATGCACAGAGTCAAAATTCTTCGCTTAGGATATAGATGATTGTCAATGGAAAGACCACCAGTTTATAACTAGGCTTATAGTCATCTTTCTGTTCCATTACTCCCTCACTTCCTCCCAGGTGCCAACTTCACTCACATTGACTCATTGTAGGCTGTTGATCTAGGCTCAACAGTGTGTGTAGATCCTGGCCAAAACATTTTTGATGCAATTTCAAATTTCACCTCTTCTGCCTTGTACAGTTTCCTTCACACTGCCACCTCCCTTGGCTTGCTTTCACTTACCCTTTTATTATTGCTGCCACAACTCTGTCAACATTGTCTCTTCTGACCCACACACACCTTTCCTCCTTTATTCTCCCAAGAACACCTTAACCACATCTCTGTCACTTAATTTATGCAAGAATGTAAATATACATGTTTTTCTCAACTAGCATTTTAGCTCCATGAGGCATAGGACCTGCCTCTTTGAGTATGTCATGGCTCTCTTCTAAAGCTTTTGTCTTAGTAACTGAATCTATGACTGCTCACCAACACTTATGGCACCTGCTTCCGCCTCCCATTACTGATATCTCTAGTCTAACCCTTCTGATTTTTGACAGCTCTTGCTCCGTTTGTTGCCTCATAATATTACTTAGACTCAGTATGATGTAACTTGAAGTTTGTGTTGTTCTCCAAAATTAGTATTATCTTCTCATTTAATAATTATATGATGCAACACTCCACATTCACATTTTATCACATTCTCCTTCTATTCTCCTATAGGATTCTTGCTTATGTTATAATCACTTTTAAGAGAGGAAGAGATTTTCCTCCCAGAACACCATTCTTGGAAGACATAAAGCAAAGAGAAATATTTTGGTATATTTTAGTTTAGCATGCAGGCAGACTTCTAGGGAAACATTCATAATGACATGAAAGTTTGCTTACTACAAACTCACAGACTGTATCCAAGTGTTTTTGACACTTCAATATAAAATTTCACAAAATTAAGGAGAACAACTTTAAAGGAAACAAGGTTAAAGGTTAAGTTTATGTGTGATCACAGCATATGATGTGCCTTATGATATATTTGCTCTCATTTCCTAATGTTCAGAATCTACTCCAGCACTCATCAATGACTCTACCATAAAATCACATATTACCAATTATACATTAACTTCTTTTTGTTTTTGGTTCTTCTTTCTTTGCTTATATGTTTGGTTCATAGACAGTGTTTGTTTCTTATTACTCCTTCTAGGTTAAATATTACCTGCGTTTTAGCAATTTTCAGAAGAACATCCTCATTGGGAGGATTTGGGATAAAAAAAACTGGTTCACAAGTTTTCTCTTTTCACCTCTCCCTATGGTGGGACCCAGAAACTTTGAAGCTGATGGGGGTAGTCCTGGTGAGCAGATCTTTAATCATACTTATCTTTATATCCCAGTTGTATAGTAAGAACCATCACATATTTATAATTATATTTCTTCATCCTTTTAATCAAAGCTGCTTATTTTTAACTTACTATGTTGGTGATTTTTTAATGTGTCCAATATCCCGTACAAAAAACTCCTATATATGTGGACATTATATTTTCATTATCTCTTATCCCTTTCCGATCATTGCCATTGTATGTCTCTCTCTCTCTCTCTCTCTCTATATATATATACACACACACACAGAGACACACACACATATATATACATATATTTGTTTGTTTGTTTGTTTTGTTTTGAGACAGAGTCTCAAGCTGTTGCCCTGGGTAGAGTGCTGTGACATCACAGCTCACAGCATCCTCAAACTTCTGGGCTTAAGCAATTCTCTTGCCTCCGTCTCCCAAGTAGCTGGGACTACCAGCACCTACCACAAGATCCAGCTATTTCTTTGTTGCAGTTGTCATTGTTTTAGCTGGCCCAGGCTGAGTTCAAACCCACCACCCTCAGTGTATGTGGCCAGCACCCTGCCGACTGAGCTATGGGTGCCTCGCTCTTTATATGTTCATGTAGATTTACTTATGAAATTTTGGAACTAATGACTTAATGAATGTGTTTACAGATACTGACACAGCCTGGTTTAATAATAACTATATTATTATGTTGAGTTGATGAATAATTTTTATTATGAAAATTATCATTTAAAAGTATTTAGTGTGAAGCTTTGCTTTTACCAACTAATTTACAAATTTATCTTAAGAAAATTATTCAGTGGAAGAAACAAGCAATTGCCCAGTTTAGCATAATTCTTAAAAATTTGAAATTATCTACATCTTAAATGTGATAAATGATAAAAGTGTTAAATATAATTTGACAGAACATTGTTGGTCATTAAAATAACCACCATGAGATCTTAGGTAAAAAGCAAAATTAGACTGGATTAAACGTATACATAGCAGCAGCAGCATAAAAATAGAACTAGTTGAATACCATGTATAACACAATTTCATGTACCTACATGAGAATATATACAAACAAAATACCAGCACGTATTTTAGAATAAACAGAACTAGGTGAATAAAGTGTATAATACAATTTTATGGACCTACATGAAAACATGTGCAAACAAAATACCAGCACATTTTTTAGAATAATACATAGAAATATAAGGACACTCATGAAACACAGAATGATTGCTGATAGGAAGGATGAGAGGGCAAGGGAAATAGGAATGTAAAAGAATAAATCAATAAAATGGGTTAAGGGGCATGAACAAATGAATTATGAACCAAGGAACACCATTAACTCTGTCCTCTGTACTTGAAGCTAAAAATGTGTGTGTGTATAAACACTTAAATGTGAACATAATATTTTAAAAGTACCTAAATAAACTAATTTATTAAAGTGCAAGCCACATGTGTATTGACTGAATTACCTGCTTGTCACCATAAACTCTTGTTTTTTTATTTGATACGCTTTCATTTCCTTTTTTTCAGGTTAATTTGAGGCTGCAAAGAAATAAGTAACAATGTTTGCATTTGTTAGATAGAATTCCTCTTATAATTGTGTACAGCCCCCAAGAGGTGAGCCATACACCCTAACATTGTGCCCATTAAGTGGGAGCACACCAATCCCCCTCCTTCTATTATCTCCCCTTTTCCCCCTCCCCCATATGAATTGAGTTTTTCTTATGTGGGGGCGCATATTAGATTGTCTACTTATTGCTTTCATATTAGCCTTCAGTACATTGGATCCTGCTTTTACAAAAAATTCATTTGTGATACTTTACTAAGAATGTGTTTCAACTCTATCCAGGTTTTTAATGGCTGAATAGTATTTCATAGTATACATATACCACAGTTTATTAATTCATTCCTGATTGATGGGCATTTAGGTTGTTTCCTCATCTTGGTGATTGGTGATTAAAATTGTGTTGCAATAAACAATCTAGTGCAAATGTGATAAAATGATTTTTTTCCTCTGGGTAGATGCTTAGTAATGGGATTGCAGGATCAAATGGCAGGTCTATTTTGATTCTTTGAGGACTCTCCATACTTCTTTTCAAAGAGGCTGTATTATTTGCAATTCCACCAACATTATAAAAGTGTTTTCTTCTCTAAACATCCACACCAGCATCTGCAGCTTTGCGATCTTATGATTTAGTCTATTCTCACGGGGGTTAGGTAATATCTCAGAGTGGGCTTGATTTGTATTTCTCTGATGATTAGGGATGCTGAGCAATTTTGTGTGTTTGTTAGCCATTCATCTTTATTCTTCAAAGAAGTTTCTGTTCAAATCTCTTGCCCAGTGATAGGAGGGATTGTTTGCTCTTTTGTTGTTGTTGATTAATTTGAGTTCTCTGTAGATTCTAATTGTCAACCCTTTGTTATAACTTGCAAATATCTTTTTCCATTCCTAAAGTTGTCTGCTTTAAGTGTTCTATCCTTAACTGTGTAGAAGCTTTTAAGCTTAATTATGTCCCATTTTTTAATTTTTGTTGTTGCAATTGCCAGTGAATTCTGCTTCATAAAATCTTTCCCCAGGCCAACATCTTCAAGAGATTTTCCCATACTTCCAATATTTTTATCACTTCTTGTTTTAGATTTAAATATTTTTATCTATCTTGAGTCAATTTTTATAAGTGGTGAAAGGTGCAGGTCCAATTTCAGTCTTTTACATGTCGTTATCCAGTTCTCTCAGCACCTTTTGTTGAATAGGGATTCTTTTCTGCACTGTATGCTTTTGTTTGGTTTATGGAAGACCAGACAGCAATAAGATAATGGTTTTATCTCTTGGTTTTCTACTCTGTTCCATAGATTTATGTCTCTATTTTTGTACAAATATCATGCTGTATTGATCACCATGGTAGAGTTATGCCTCCAGCTTTGTTTTTATTACTAAGAATGTCCGTGGCTACATGGGGTCATTTCTAGTTTCATACAAGAAGAAGAAGTATTTTTTCCAGTTCTTCAAAGTATGCTGTTGGTAATTTAATGAGAATTGCATTAAACGTGTAGATTGCTTTGTGTAGTATAGACATTTTAATAATGTTTGATTATTCCCAGCCAAGAGCATAGTATGTTCTTCCACTTGTTAATATCGCCTGCTATTTCTTTTCTTTTCTTTTTTTTTTTTATTGAATGGTAACTGTGTACATTGATGCACTTTGGGGGCACAGTGTAGTGTTTTCACACACAATCCAAGACACTTCCATCAAACTGGTTAACATAGCCTTCATGTAACTTTCTTAGTTATTATGTCAAAACATTCATATTCTACTCA